TGCAAGGGCAGGGATTGGCGCGGGTCGCTTTCTGGATACAGTACCCCTCTGGTTGTACCTTCAACGATTGCGATCACATCTGCATGCGTGGAATGGTAATTGGTTGAAAATATGGAGTTTGCGAATGTCTTTTTGCCTTGATATGTATCTTGAAATGAGTTGAATTCAATTCACGCAATAAGCACCAAGTGCAGTATGGTAGGCAGCAACAAGCTATCCCAGTGTACACAAGGTGTGGGAATTGACATGGCGGCTTTTGGCTGGGCAGACAATGCTGCTGGGGTTGCTGAAACGCGATCCATGTCCTGTGCAGGTTCCGTGAACAGAACGCCCACAGTGAAGAAAGTAATTTTCACAGCTTCCACATCAGCTCTTTGTTCGGACCCGAGCGAGTACGGACAAGGACATGTCCTCTCCGAGAAGGATTGGAACAAGACGGCTTCTGAAACGTATTTTCCATATTACTACAGCAAGACTGTCTCCGAGCTCAAGGCATTCGAAATGTGCGGGAGCCAGAAGCGGTGAGCGTTGCAAATGCTGGCATTGGGCGCATGTAGCAATGGGTCGGTCGAGGACTTTGCATGGAGCCCATTTGTGTGTGTTATTGAGTGAGCTTAGCCGGCCAATGACCTGCAGATTTGAGGGAATTTCCTAGAAATGTACTACTTTGTACATAGCAATGGTATTGTTTCCAAGCACGCCATGGTGAGGAGAATGGTGGACTGTGTGGCAAGTGTTTCAGCCGGCGTGGGACAAGTCTTTTTCAATACCCCTTGATTCTAATGCCGGCGCAGATTTTGTGCCATCAAAAGTAAAATTCAACACAGCTGTTGTGCTGTGTGACTGCGTGGCAACACCAACTCAACAAGCTGACGCTGCAACTTACTGCACTTGCACGCCGCTTTCTATGCTGGTTGCCACCTCTCATGTGTGTGACTACACGAATGCATCATCCTTGTCCAACAGAATAGCGAGGAAACACCTGCGAAACTGCGGGCACGCTCTGTTTTCGCATTTGCAGTATGCAGGCATTGTATTACAAGCATGTCAGTTCAATCGCCCATTAGTAATGCTTACGCATAGCTACACCCATTCTTGGTGACACTGTGGTGTCGTGGAATTACGCTTCCATTTTCACGATGTGTATGTCTTGACCGTGAGGGCGTTCGACAAAGAAGAGCCAAGAAAAGGCTCGAACGTTCATGCACACGACATCAAACACGTGTTTTTTCTGCATACTCGACGAGACAGCCACTCACTGCGAGGGTGAGGCGTAAGTTGTGCACGGAAAGAGGCTGGGATGAGTTGAACTGTGCGTTGCGCAACGACGTAACTATGCTGCGCTGTACGCATTTGTGGGCGCGGTCTCCTCGCTGCACATATTACGGGTGCGCAGCTGTGGCTGTACATTCGTGAACAGCAAGCCTGCATGCATTCTGGACACCATCTGTTGGATGGTGTCCATCTAAAACGCGCTCCTGGAGGAGTCCAATGCCAGTTGTAGTGCGCATGATATTTTCCTTGTGAAACGCATTTGCTTCAGGTGGAAGTTGTGCACGCTGTTGCCATGTATCGTCATTGGGCCGCCACTTTCGAGACACACTAAGAGCGAGTCTCTGACCACATTCAAGAAGCTATTGCTGGGGAAGATGTTTCCTATGGTGCCAGACTTCACCTTCTACCACGTAAGGTCCCTGAAGATGAATTGCCTGCTGGTGATGCATGCATTCGGAGGCACCCGCACTGCCCGCGCAAAACATTTGTCGGTATCAAAATGGGCACCTCAGTCAGCCAATAGGTGAAGAACGCACGACTGGCTGGTGCGATTGCACGAAAGGCGCTTCACTGCACGACAGTCCTCAATGGTTCTGTCGGGTGATGAGATTTGTGATCTTGAAGAGGTTCGCATTGCAAACCCAAGAACTTCAAGCGTTGTCGTGCCCGACAGGTGGATGTCAGGGACGTCGCCGCTGCGCACTGCATAGCAATGTCAAAGGAAGAAGTGGAGGGCAGGTGCGATCGGCCTTTTGAGGTGCTGCATGACGCACTTGCAGCTGACCACTTGCTGCTGATTGCCGTTGCGCTTCGTGGGGGCGAATAGTATGTCCTTGCTGCGCAATTGATTTGCAGCATTGGGTGCTGCATATTGCCCGTGGATGCTTCGATTGCGGCATTGAGCTGTTGGTATGAACTGCGCCACTGCGCATTCCGGTTTTCGCGCCTTGCCCGTTCGGATGTTTCCGAACTGCAGAGGCCGTCGCACAATGGCACAGGCCATTCATATTATGCAATGTGAGCATGACGACGTTATGAGGACAGCACGTGGTTGTGCCAGCAAGGTGCGTTGGCAGGCGCGATCCAATTTTGCGTTGAGGGTGTGCGCCCTCACCCTCCTGTGACAGCAGACCACGGAAGAACTTGGAGCCTGGAGCTTCACACGTGTGAAGCTGCGTGCACGCACTTTGCCTCGTCCCGACAGTCTTCAGTAACAATGCCTTGGCGAGGGAACAAATCAAAACGGATGGAGGAGTTGCCTGTCGCACTGTGCCTAATTTGGTCTCCACATGGAAGGGAACCAAGAATGGGGAAAGGGCATTTCGGATATCAGAGCAATGAAACAGTGGGTATCCAAAATACGGGGTACACAATTGGTGTGAGCATTGAGGTGATGTGGCGCTGTGCTGAAAGAGGTGCACACCAGGTACTTGATGGTCAACACGGACTTTCCCCCCATGACCATGCTGACTTGGGCCAACGTTTTGAGGATGAAGTACCCTAATCGCTGGTTGCCCTTCATGACGGCGCCGAAGTGGCTTCTCTGGCTCATTGGCCCTTTCGTGGGGGTATCACGGGATCTTTTGAAGTAAGTCCGAGGGACCTGGTTCCTCGATGCGATGCTCAGATTCGAAAGAATGGTCTGGCTCGTGAGCATGTTGGACACAAAATCATGGCATCGCGCCTGCCGTCGTGGTTGCCAGTGCTAGTCATATCATGAGCTGGTGCGGTTCTGAATAGAGATTCGATTTGCCAACGCGTCGCATCGCGATGTTTTTCGGTGCTTGCGAGATTATGTGAATTTTCGATGGGATTATGACTGATATGATACCACGTCAGATCTATATGGTTCCCACAGAACATAGATGGGGCCGCGGCAGTTGGACTCGTGGCCTGTAGGTGATGTGGAACGATTGCAAAGATCTAGTTGCACCTTTTGCACAAAGCCGTCCGCCGTGCTAACATCCCAGCTTTGGCCTTTTTTGTGCGCAAAGGGCGGAAATGTTCTTGTGTGGATATCCTATGAGCTGTAGTGGGATTTGACACAATGTCGAAGTCAATGAATGGAGAATTTCGCTGCCATCTTGGACCGCCAATGTCAGATTGCCAGCAACCAGCTATTTAAGTATGATTATCAGCATATGCCTGCTGGCAGTCTGATTGACAAGGCTGGCGAGGCCATCTCCACCAGGTAAACCATGTCACTTCACTGATGGGCCAAGAGTACGCCATGCAGGGCTCCACAAGCTACAATAAACGGAAAGTGCTAGTGCTGTTTCTTTGCTGTGTGGTCGAGTGTGTTTACACCCACTTTGCTTTGCTGAAGGGCTCGGTACGGCAGAGGCGTGGCGCCCGTTGATTGCTCGAGGTACAAAAGGGACATCGGTTTGGCGTACTCAGACCCACGGCGCAGCCTTCTGGAGATGGCAGAGGCATTGGTTCAACTGAAGATGGTTTGATGAGAAACGAATATCACTGCATTCCCATTCACAACCATCTTCTCGCTGGTTGACTGATGGCAGTACTGACTGGCCAAGCAGAGATGGGAAACTGCCTGTTCCGGGGAGTTTGCTTCACAGTTGCTTCAGCCAGCTGCCATTCATGGAACTTTTTGTGAAGAGCTGTTTGCAATAAGTGTACTAACTGGGGGGTGATGATGAACTGAATAATCTCCAGGAATTTGCAGGTATTGTCTGACGTTTGTGCTTTTAGTTGTTGGGCATGAATTTGAGACATCTGATCGTTGGTGCGCATGAACAGAGAATGCCTTTGAGTTTAAGTTGTTCCAGACCCGGGCTGAGGAGTGCATGTGCATTGATTTTTCAGGCCATGACAAAGATGCAGTCAGTGATTTATGCTACAACGACAAAAATGTATGCAACGAGAAATTTCGTTGTCCCATCAATGGCATTCTGCACGCATAACCTCTAGCCCAGTGTTCGTTTATTCATGGTAACACAGCATAGTGATGTGCACGAAAATGGTATGTGTCGTGTGCAACACCAACAGCCGGAGGTGAAACAAAGAATACCAACTAAACCAGCCACCTGCACTGCAGCTGATGTTGGGATTCTCCCAATTCCAACAATACATGTACTTAGTGGTGCAAGTCGCTTTCATTGTCTTCCATCTATGTGACAAGAGCAATTTGCTGAATACCACAACCTTTGGCTGAAGGCTGAAACAGAATGTACCAATGACAGCACCATCTGCTGTTGGTATGGACACATTGTACACTAAAAGTTGGGCACTGACTCCTTGCTGTACCCAGCATTGGCGTTGCTGGTGAAATAGAGTTGCTGTCAATTGCGGGTTTCGCATGGGCACGGGTGGCCTGTGTGCATATGTTTTCATATGGTGTTTTCATATGGTTAAAAATTCGCGTGCAAACACAACAGCCATTGCAACAAATCTTGCTGCCTTCCCAAAAGCGACTTCTGTTGCACAAGGCGTCTGCGAAAACCAGCTTCTGAGGATTCCTCCTTGTGCAAAGCCTACAACCCTTCAGAGATTTTGCGCAGGTTCTCGCGTGTCTGTGCCCACTATCCAGCATCCTGCCATTGGCGCGAAGTGATGATGCAGCGCGGTAAGTTCCCAAAATAGCAATGCGAAGTGCGTCCCGCAACAAAAGGACTGCAGGCCTCGGCGCTCGAGCGCTCTGCGTGCGTCCCCGACGAGAATTCAGGTGTGAGCCATTCCCAGGAACATACTGGACAGGATCCCCGATCAGACACGCAGAGTTGCCATGCAGGCACGGAAACAACGCGGCGCGGAGGGCCATTACGCTCCAAGTCTCCAAGGCGAGAAGGCCGTAGCACCACCGACGCCTCGCTCGCGCCCACGCGCTCCTGCTTCCCGCGGGCTGGCAAAGTTCAAGACACTTTTGCACCCTGTCGCGCCAGTCAACCCCGTCAACGGCCGATGTGGGCGTACACCTCGGTGCCCTTTTCGCAGAATCGCATAAAATTTGGTGCGAATGTCACCCATCACGAGCCAGTTGCCAAGGCGCCCAGAGGGAGCCCGAAGTGGGCAAGCGCGCCTGCCCCGTTTGCTGGAACCTTGCCTTTGCACGAGCGGACCAGGGTACCGCCGCAGGGTAAGCTGGCAGTGTGGGCGGGGTCATGATGGGATCGGTGCGATGTCCCGCGACGTGTGCTGCGGCGGGGGTGCGCATGCAGGCTGGCGCGGATGCCGACCCCGGGGTGTCCAGAGTGGGAGGGCGGACCAAATACAGCGTGAGGGTGTGCATCAACAAGACTTGCAAGGGGCAGGGATCTCCTGGGGTGAGTGGGTTGGCGGAACGAGGCGGCGAGAGCTGCATTTGCCGGCTTGGACCGCGGGTGCATTGAAACGGCACGTGCAATGAATGGGTTGGAACGTCTTCCGCCTGTGTAAGCTGGGTCATGTTGTGATGCGTTTGGTGACTGATTGGGAAGAACTGCAACTTGAGCAATTCAATTGTGAGATCAACGTGGTAGAATGGCGACCTGGATGGGATTGCAGATACGTAATTTGGTAAGGGCTGAAAGCGGACTTTCCGTTGGTTGCTTTGGTGTGTTGGACCATTTCATGAGTAAAACAAACGAAATGCGAAAGAGGCCTAGTGTATCTGCAGTTTCAGGTGTGCATTATTGTGGTGGTGGCCCATGGACTGGTGAAAAGCTACAAGGAACAGAGTATGGAGGTTTGCTGTGTGCTAGTGACACTTGCTTTCAGTTACAGGCTCAGCAATAGTCCATGTGGAGGACTTCGACATGCTTTTTGTGTATTATTGTAGCTAGGATGCAGTAAGATCCCAAACGGCATTTCTGGTTGAGACAATTGAAATCCATTGTTAAGAACATCCCCAGACAAGATGTTGAGAAGTTGAGAAAATTGCAGTGAATTTTGACCCCACCCTTCAAGAATACAAGCGGTACAGAACAGGCTTCAACAGAACGAGAAAATCTACTGGGCCAATGCCTCCATAAACTGAGCCAAACTATCCCCACAATTTTCAAGGCTACTTGCCATATGGGTCGTCAGGCACTAACTTGTGAACGCAGTGGACTATACAGCGAACAATTGGCATTCGTAACCCATTGCATGGGTGTCTGGTCACGGATCTTTCCTTCTGTCAGCCTGGGCAACATTGCTACTGCCTGTACAAATGCTGCCAACACTGCTTTCACTCTTCTTTGGAACCTTCACATCCTATATATTGCAGTGTATTATTGCCCTACTGCATAAGAAGCAGTCCATGCCCTGCAGCTCTTGTTCCAGCTCATTGAGAATTGAGGAGATGTGTTGCAGCTTCTTTGTAACTCCTTGAGCAGTGTTTGTCCCAAAAACAAAGCAAGACCCTCGCAATTTGCAGGTGATGTTGGATGGAAGCCTAAACACAAGGCCCTAGAATTTTTGTTTGACCCTATGTGCACCATACACATTGTAGAATGCCAACGAGGCAAGCAAGATCAACATGCCGAGTGAATCCTCAAGGCCACATGTCTTTCTCAATTCCAGGGAGCACAATAACAGAGCATAGGTGCATTAGTCCAGCGTCTGTTGTTGTGTCAGGAAAAGACAGTGATGTGGTGGGCCGGTTTTGCTGTGCCACAATTGAACTTCAGGATGACGCTTGTCAGCAGTATTGGAATGCTTAGAAAGGCATCGAGTCAGATGCTTGGATTTCTACATGCACTTGGTTATTGCGGCACACCTGTGGTTTGACCCTTCAATCGATGGTTTGTCATCAGTAGTTTGTTGTCTGCCTGCAGGTTCTACAGTTTGCACAGGATCTATGCCACCCTGACCTGGATGTGAATAGTTGCGGCTGCTTGGGTAGGTTTCCGTTATCATCCAAAATGCTGCCATCGCGATTTCGACACGCCATTGTTTACCACCTGTCTAGTTTTTGCTGAGTAGCTATCCTGCTCATGTTATTGTGTTATTCATGGGTCCCTTTCCGGTTTAAGGACAACAGTGTCAGTAAGTTTTGTACTGGTTCTGTTGTAGTTTAATGCCTTGTTGTGTGAGGGGAAAATGCCCTTTCAATTGCCAACAGCACATCGCAATGCAGCCAAATCCCTGCTGCGTGAGTACGTAGCTGCCAACAAGTCAAATGTCTTCAAAGCCATCACATGCTCCTGACCGCCTAGTGCTGCAGGTAATTGTGGAAATGGCCCGAATATGGTCATATTGCCTGCTGAGCGAGAGGTGTCTCATGTGGGCACACCAGCACGCATGGCTGAGGTCCTCAACATGGAATGTGGCATCCAAGTGTCTTCAGATCTGGTGGAAGCAACCCAGGTAAGGAAAGCACAATGTTGGCCTCCATTTTGTTATGACAACCAGAATTGATGATCTCTCGGTAGCAATGGAGGCACAACTCGTGTCAGGTTTCAGCTCCAATTCGCTGGAATGTGTGCAGTTTGGAAGGCAGTAGTGGCTATCATGTGTACAGTGAGGCATCATCTTGGATATCAATGGTATGTGCTAGCGGACAAGGTTCATGCTCAGAGTTTGCAGAGCAGAATGTGATTGCTTGGAACGGTTGGACGGACAGCGTGCACTCACTATGGTAGTTCGTGTCCATCCAAAGTGGCGATTGACTTGGCCCTCACATTCTGCAACGAAGGGCTTGGACATGATAGGACTTGTGTGCTTTTATTCACAGTGCCGGCAGTCTGGCAATGTGCTTGCTCGATCTGGGAAGCTCAAAGAGGCGATGGACAAATACAGTGAGGTGCGGCTTTGTTCCTATGCACATGCATGAGTGAACTGCGTCTGCAGCACAGGCCTGCAATTGGAATCGATATTCGACTGCCTGCAACTGTCGCAGAATTACAGGTGTCTTGAAGTCTGCCACACAATGGAAGCCAGCATGCACGCAGTGCTGTGTGCCAATATCTGGTGTGTTTGTGTAGCGCAGTTACAGATTCTAGTACCCTCGCAACTGGTGACGAACACAGTCTCTGCTTTGCTGGCATCAGTGCTTTGCTGGCAAATGTTCCTCAGGGCGAAAAAATGTCAGTGACAGATGACGAAGCGTGGAGTAGGCTTGTCACATAGTAGTTAACTGTGCAGGGCATTGCGCTTGGCGTTTCTTCAACTCTTCACCTGCTGTATTCGAACCGGTCCGGTGTGAGGCTCACCCTCGGGGATCATGAAGGTGCTCAGGCAGACGCCCTGCTTGCCGTGGAGCATGCCCCTGTCGGTTTCACAACAGCACACATACGGCTGATCGATGCATACTACATCCAAGGCCAGTATGAACAGTCGGCACAGGTGCTGCAAAATCTTGTAGATACCAACCCCGAGTTTCGGGCAACCAAGGAGTTTAGTTTGATTTCGAAACAGCTGGAGAAGGATCTCAAAGTGGTGGCACGTTGATCGTTGTGGACGTTTTGACGTTTGTTGTGGGAGCAAATTGCTCTATTAATTCCCTCTCTTTTTAGTGGCTATAGTGATTGTGCGCTATGAAGGATCGCATCTTGGATATAGCACAGGTGTTTCTGGACGTTTTGCTTGCGTTCAACGGGCACCGGCCCCTTTGGCACGGCGCCAGGTTGCACCGATTCTTTTCACACTGAATTTGCTGGATGGTATGATGCACTGTTGAACGTGTATGCCCCACCGTCCCCGGTCCCCTTTGTTACATGCAGCCCCACCTCCCGCAACAGCGCCGCAGGCTTCCTGCCCAGTCAATGTCCCAAGCACACAGGGCCCCCTCACTCCCCACGCTGCAGTCGCTCCTGGCCTCATCAGCTCCGCCCCCATGACTGCCATTGTCAGTTGCCGCAGGGGTCCTTTGACAGCCTTAGACAGGGTTCCTCCCGTCTACGCCCAAGAAGCCACCCAGCCACAACACTGACTCGCAGCTCACAAGTTGCGTGCACACAAGGTTCCCATACCCAACTGCTGCCGCCATCATGGCAAGCTGGTCTGCCGACCCAGGTCCGCTAGCTGCTGGAGAAAGGCCTCCGCAGAAAGGATCTCCGTGGCGCCGTACACCACCTGCCTGGGGCTGGCGCAGCTGGCTGCCCACGCCTGCAGCGCCTCGTGCTCCAAATAAGTGCCTCCACCAATCATGCACACCACCGCCTCCCTGTAGGGCCCCATGCTGCGGTCGCTCGCACCCCCCGGTGGGCCCCTGGGATCAAATGTTGCAAAGTCGTCCAGCGGGCCCCCCGACTCACTCTTGCCCGCCATCAGCGAGTCCAGGGCCGCGACCACAGGGCTGCGCCTGGCTCCCGACAGGAGGTTCTTCACACCCTTGGTGACCGTGCTCAGACCCTGGCCAAAGGTCTTTTCAGCCCAGGAGAGGAGGTTGCTCTGAGAAGAGCCCGCCAGCTGCGACAGGGCACCAAAGTTGGAGGCCGATTTCATGCCGCCTGCCAAGTTGTTCTTCCGCAGCGTGCGGACGTACGAGAAGCCCGTGGTGTCTGCACCAGACTCCCGCAGGGCAGCCTCGATCTGGGACAGGTCACTGTCTGTCGGCATGGCATCCGACGCCAGAAGGCACACCAGGGCGAGTCTCTGGCGATCGGCGTGTGTGCCCTTGTTGCCCTTGAGGAGTTCAAGGACAGCGGCCAGGTCGGGTTTGCCGGTAAGAATGTCCTCCTCGAGGTTGTAATACAAATTCAGCGTCCTGAAATTGCATGCAGGGGTGGATCAATCGACGTCGCAAAGGCAAGTGCAGGCTCAAACGGACAGCTTGTCACGGACAATGTGTTGGTTATGACTATAATGTAACCTACATCGATAATCCGCAGAACCACTGGTTGTCTCTTATTTTCCCTTCCATATCCTATCGACACGATGAGGGTGCCGACAGTATGTAGAAAGAACTGACAATGCTGGTGGTCTCTCACATGCCCTTCCAACGTCGCCCGACGTGCCATCAAATGTTCCAGCCACCCACAAATGGTGCTCGTGCCATTTAATGCCATGTCGAGAGCGTCAGCAGGGCAAACGCCCCTTGAGAAAACCAAGTGATGGCTTTAGAGCGTGTGAATACGTCAGTACACCAATAAGTCAATACCTGGTGCAGTCCATATGCATACAAGACTGGTAGCCATTATGGTCAAGGGCTATCACGTCCAGCTGCCAGAATTCTAAAGCAGCTGGTAATACGACATTCACCTCTTCAGCCACCTACGTCTATCACAATGAGCACAGTGAATCGTGGCCACACCTGAAACTGCTACTGTCCTGCGGGCACACAAGGGCCCGCGTGTGCATGAGAATTAGCAGCGTGAATTGCAAACCCAGCGACCTGGGCAGAGTGTTTCCTCCGGGGGGTGCTCCTACTCGCTGTGCAAACCAACGACAATCCCCCCAGTTGTCGTTCAGGTCAGCACACTGAACGATAATCTCGGTGACGGAGGCCTGACATCTCTGCACCTCCAATAATTGCCAGGAAGACATTCTTGGCATAGAAATCAGTGCACAGAGGTTGCTGCACCATCACCTTCAAGACATCCTTCGGTTTGCATTTGGCTTATCATTGAGTCCTTCCAAAATCCATTGAAATGCAGGGTGTAATTACACAAAGTACATCAGTGTGCCAGAGATCACTGCAAGGATACAATACATTGCAGCATCTGCAAGCATGTGTCCCCCGTCCATCCACATTGGGGTGCGAAATACGTGTTGCAGCCGAAGAGTGCACAGCGAATGGCAGCAATACAATGCTTCACACAGGCAGTACACAGGCAAACACACAAGGGAGAAACAGGCAAATGGGCCTTGTTGGCAGACTTTAACTCAGCTGCGGCTTCCCCACCCACCTTGGGAAATGGGAGGCTGCCACACGTTTCCCAGAAGAAGTCCTTTTCATCGACATCGTAAGACGCCTTCTTGGGAGCATCACCCACAACCACTCCACCTGGCGATGCATCTTTTCCAACTGTGATCCTGTTCAGTCGCATACCCAACACATCCTGCACATGCACGCACATCCTTCTGTTTGGCTCTCCAATCAACAGCAGCCTTATACCTGCAGGGCGGTGCCCAGCAACACAGTCACAACATGAGACAAAGACCAACACAACAAGGCTGCAAAAATGAGCAAACTACCTTCACAGCCAGCAATCCAACTACGAAAAGAGCTGATCTGCAACAAAACTAACACAACAAGACAATGTATCAGGGCTCATCGATTGGCAGATAAAGCGGAACCATTCTCTGCAGTTTGCCCAAGTGCATGAGAGCCAAATCGAACCAGCTGGCAGCTGACAACCTGAATGCAGCCACACCATGCGTTATAGTGTTGCAGAGCAAAACGCTCGTCATACTTGACTGTACACAGAAGTACACAAAGTGCGCACATCGACTGGAAGTTCACACTCCAAACTGGGAAAACCTAGCAACTAACTCCAAATACGACTGTTGTGCCAACAGCACAACAAGAGTGCACATGCAATCACCTGGACCAAAGGTTTGTATGAGAAAGTGTGCTGCACCGCGACCGACAGATCGAAGTCACGATCGAAGAGCACCAACAATGGCCTTGCGATCGATGCAACCAGGCCAGAGGACGCCTCGCTGAAGAGGTTATTCCTCAACTTCAGGGCATCCCTCATCTTTGCATCCAGGGCAGCGGCTATGTGCTCCGGAGCCCCTCCTTTTGGACAGCGAATGATGGGCACTGCCCCGAGCGTGAGGAAAACTGAAAACAGACCATCCACAACTGTTGATACGGTTGCCTACACGAGAAAAGGGAGAACTCAGGACATGGGTGACCATTTGAATGCATATTTGCTGTGAACCATGTTGAAGCAATAGCTGCCTTGCCGCTAGTTTGCGTGACCACCCAATTGGTTCGCCATCGGGTGCAGGCAGTTATCGTCATGCTGAAGCAGCAATAGGAGTACCCAATTCACCCCCCGTGCTCCTCTCCACAGCCGTTATGTTTCAGGCAAAGGATTCTTGCTTTGTAGATTATGGAAACCGCAGACCTACAAGACTCGACGAGTGCAAAGACAGGAAGCAGCAACAACATCCCTTCAACATATGTGGCAGTTGTCCTTGCTGCCAATTCCCCACAAAACTGAGAAATCTTCTGGCCATTATTGCTCACCCACATAAAATACAAAGAACGACGCACACAGTTTCAAACAATGAACAGGTATATTCGAGCACAATGCTTAAAATGTCAACAACTGTGCTTGACAGCATCAAGACAGGCGAAACACGATTCTCAACAACACAGCCACACTGTTCGTTCAAGCACATCGCCCCACCTCGATTTCAGTGTCTCGGGCAGAAGGATCGTTCAGTTCCGCATAGCATCTGGGCATCGACAACGAGAAGAGGTTCTTTTCCAATGCCACGAAGGCCAAGTATTGGTCAAACACTTTTGCGATCCGGCCAGCACCATTCGGTGTCTTCACCACACCCTCTGCAAGCTCCTCTAGGAGGTTGTGGGGGACAGCTGGCACAAAGTTGATGTACATCTGTTCGTACAGCTCTTTCTCTGTGTCTGCGACGATGGCAGCCACATTGGCTTGGGTTGGCTGCACGAGGTACACTGCAGGCACCTGGGGATGGGCAAGACACAGAGTCACACCACCGTGAGCAAGAGAACCACACCGTCTTCTGCAAAAGCTGTGCGTGACCAGAATGTGAGTTGGGGCAATGCTTTATGATGCCAACCCCTTCAGTCTGGTTTGATGGAGACTGAACATGATCGCATCTGCATCAAACCGGCCACAGGCTGCATTTTCGCAATATCTGAAGGCGAAGCAAGTCCAACCGCATCCAATCGTTGCTTTCATGCTGTCCCAATTCTACTCTGCAAACACATAAGTAACACAATGATTGGCGGCTTGTCTTTCTGGCCATGAAGATCAGCCACTGTTTGAGGCAATATACCATTGATCACAGAGGATAGCATGCCCCATGCGTTGAGCATCAGAGCTGGTGTCAAGAATACTGGGGGCACTGTTTTGTGTGCCCCCGTGATATCTTACGTGCCCCCCCACGTTCCGCATCAAGTCGATGAATCAGTAATGCCCCAACGCTGCCACACTGACCGCCAGACCAATTTAGCACATTGAATACTGATCTAAACGAGGGCTCCAAACACAGCGATGGCGAGAGGACGTCACCCTAACAATTCTGCGACTTTCTGCATTGCATCACTGCATCTTTAAACAGTGTACGAGCATGTCCAATCATGGGAGCTGCGTGGGCCCCCGCGCTACCTAACATACCTCGTGCTGTGCAGCTGTGTCCATGTTCGATAACGTGGGGGCCGTTATCCAAGGACCACCCTTTACTCAACACCCCTGTGCTAACCTCTGTGATCTACAGTATTTGGTGATGCAAGCCTTGCTCACAATTTCTACCACCATGTGCAATGTGAGGCACAAATGAGGGGTACCAAACGGCAAAGCAGCCTGAAAATGCTGTGCAACTTCGTTGCTCCAGTACTGGGCACACTACAGCACAAAGTCTTTTCTATGATCACAGCCAGTCTCTTTGAAGGCCAGCAAATTACTGGCCACATCCAACTTTGGGACTGCATTCACTGTTACCCAGCCATAGCATTATCCTAGGCAAGTGATTGGGCAAGGCTCTGATAAGTATGGTGGATGATGCAGGCAAAAGTTTGGTGCCAGCATTGGAAAACTGAAATTGCCCTTGCACCGCTGCACCAAAGACGTGTACTGTTCACATTTGCATATGTTTGTTACCATGCAGTTTTTGCCCCAATTCACTGTGCTCAACAACTGCCTGCAGTGAAGATTGTCACAGCTGCAACCTCTTCCCATTCGCCACCATTAAAAGGCAGTCCAACATGACAACAAATGCAGCACAAGGGGCATAATGTCTGCATCTTAAATGTTGGCTGGAACTTGAATTCTGGCGTGTGAAACAAAAGCTTGAAACCAACCAAAAAAAGCAAATAGCAGTACCTGTGCCAGTCCAACAAAACGGGTGACATAACACCTGCATATCAAGTGTTCAGTGGCATGTGAATTCTTGCATGCGATGAAAAGGTTCATCATCAACCAAAAAATCCATCTTGCTCACCTCTGAAATGGGTTGCCTTACTGCCTCTATGCCTAGATGAAGAGTCACTCCATGTTTCCGCAAGTCATTGACATGCAACAAGGGGGACAGCAAATCCTTGCTGAATTTGTCAAGAATGAGGACTTTGTAGGTTCCAGTGCTGTTGTCAGCTTTGACGCCAGATGGAGGCTGGTTGAAGTGGAGCAACTTCACAACAGCATCTGATGCCAACACAGATCAAACATTAAGAACACAGGCAAAGACAACACATCAATTTCAAGATGAGTTTGAATCAGCTGAAAACAATGTTTTGTTTCCAGCAGGCGTGTGCAGCAGATATGGGCATGGAATGCTGGTGGCAAAGGGCATTTGCAGGGTTATTTCCAGTAGTAGTGCAGGGGTGCAGGGGTGCAGGGGTGCAGGGGTGCAGGGGTGCAGGGGTGCAGGGGTGCAGGGGTGCAGGGGTGCAGGGGTGCAGGGGTGCAGGGGTGCAGTCCACAAAGAAGCAGATAAACAATTCTGGTACAAAACCCTCTACAACAGCGCCAAGTGGCTCCTCGTTGAACGCTTAGATAGACTTCATTGCCATTATCAGACTGTTCGCCTCTAGGGCTGCAACAGATGCCAGCATATTTTCCCCATCCGAGAGCGGCGGGCTGCAACAGCAAAGCTTTGTCCAAACCTTCCTTTTGCAGCATCCAGAAAAGCGTTCCCCAACGCTCAGCATCAGGCATTGGACAAGAGCCGCTGCTTCCCAGGTTGCGTGAGCGCACCTGTACCTTTACAAAGGGGCCGGTCTAGGCCATAGCTCCCAGACGCCCAGACTCGCTCTTTGTTTACTAATCTCCGCCGTTTTGCTGAAGACACTGCTCACTGGAATCTGGCGTTCCGGACCGCGGCAAACAGCACAGTGCGCTGCGCGCAATCCACGGGGACGCACGACGCTTTGGCTCGGGTGATCTGCCGTCTCACCTATCTGCTTCTGTCGGACGTTCAGCACCATCGCCTTGGGACCCCGCAAGGTCGGCACTCAGGAGGGGCCAAACCTGCGCAGGGAAGGCCGGCGCGCGTCGAATCCCGCCTCACAAACGGCAGCAAGTCCGCTCGCTGCACCGTTTGCCGCCCTCGCCAACTCTCCAAGAGCAAACGTGTCCGGAAGCATAATGCTCGCCTCTTTTCGATAGCAGAAGCAAGAAAAAAAAGCGAAAAAAGGAGGAAAAAGGGGGAGAAAAAGGCCCCAGGTGCGTTACTTTGTTGGTGGCGCCTGTACATAACGCCATGAGCGCCGCGGAGTCGTCAGGGGCTTCCACCATGGAGCCCGCGGTGGCCGCGCGCGCGAGGCTCCTGCGCACGGCGGTTGGCCACCTCAACTCCGTGAACCCCCAGTCCTCAGCGTCCGCCGCCGCGGTGCTCTCGCAGCAGGGCCTCGCCGCGGACGAGCTGCCCGGCGTCCAGCCAGATGATCGCGCGGCCCTCTCTGCCGCCATCGACGCCGTGGACGCAAGGGCGCTGTCCCTCATGTCCGGCGAGGACCCGCAGGGCGTCCGCGAGGGCATGTGGCAGATGGCGCGGCTGTGCGGCGAATGCGGGCATGGAAGGTTCGTGCGCAGGTTCAAGGCCTGGGGTGAGGCGGTGATGCGCGCGGTCGAGGATCGGGGGGGGGAGATCGGCGGCGCGGACGGCGCGGTGGCGATCGGCGGGCTGTTCGCCAGGCTGAGGGGGCTGCTGGCGGTGAAGGGGGTGAGGTCGCATGCGGCCAGCCTGGCGGGGCGAGTGCTGCAGGTGATGGGGGAAAGGATTAAAAATGCAGCGGGTGAGGGGGAGTGGGGGGCGTGTTTGGAGGCAATTGTGTGCGTGGTGCGATCGCTGCCGGCCGCGTGGCCCAAGGGGACCGCGGACGTGAGCGGGGCGGTGCTGGGGAAGATCACGGCACCCGACGCCACGGACAGCCAGCGGGCCGCGGCGGCGCAGCTGCTGGCCGGCATGAGCGAGGGGGCGAAGGACGCGGCGGGAAGGTGGGGCGAGAGCATGCGCACGATCCTGGTCATGGCGCACGGGGCGCTGGATCGGATCTACGGGGGCTGGGAGGCCGGGGACGCGGGGAAGAGGGCGCTGAAGGCTCTGCGCGGGGTGGGTCCCGGGGACGTGAGCGGGGCGACGGGGCTGGAGAAGGTCGCGGAAGGGATGGAGTTCGGCGAGGGGAGCTTGAGGCCGGCGCTGCAGGTGTTTGGCGGCCTAGTGGACTGCCTCGAGCGCCAGATGACCGTCTCGACAGCGACCTATCTGGCGATTCCTTGTGCGCAGATCTGGGCTTTGGCAGCGAGGGTGTTGTCCGTCAATGCCACGGCCATCAGGGGGCATTTCTCCGCGTCGCCGATGTCTCTGGAGCTCTTGGCGGCCCTTCCGTCTCTGCACGGAGCAGCTTGGGATTTGGTTGGATTGTTGATAAAGGTAGCAAGAAGCCAGCTGCTGCCCCTGTCTGGGTCCATTTCCAGGTCGATGAAAGAGGGTCTTTACAGGATACACCGCTCCCCTGCTGTCGGCGCGATTCTGGCAAGCTCCCTTGAAAGGGCGGCTCTCTACCGTGCCGCTGCACAGCATGTTCGATGTGGGGGACTGTCTTCTGCACGAACACTGCTGACGGATTCTGTCCCCTGCCTCGAAATGGAGTTCAACTTGTTGTACGCAAGGAATTGGTCCACGTCGGGATTGCGGCAGCCCTCAACTAGATCGAAAGGCAAGAG